ATGGCTTATTACCATCCCTTCCTGTGACCTTTCCTTGAGTCATCTGAGGAAGGTGGATACTCCCCATTGCAAGTACCGTCTTCTTTTTGCTGAACATCTTTCGAGCCATTCTTCTCTTCCTATTTATATCTGGTGGCTCTGTAGGTTCTGCTATGGTGTACTGTGGCTTGGTAGTTGCTCGCAGGATCCCCTCTACAGTTTCTGTGTTCACTGCTGAGTTGTATGCTACTTCTCTTGCCCTGGATCATGTAGAAGCTATGCAGTATAGTTTAGCTACTTTCCTCAACTCTTCTGTTCACCTGAAATTGTATTTCTGATAGATACTTATCTCTCTCCACATAGTTTAGCTATTTTCCTCAACTCTTCTGTTCACCTGAAATTGTATTTCTGATAGATACTCCCCTCTCTCCACATAGTTTAGCTATTTTCCTCAACTCTTCTGTTCACCTGAAATTGTATTTCTGATAGATACTCCCCTTTCTCCACACAGTTTAGCTCAGCTGTTGTAGTTGTGTATTCTGAGAGGAATAATTGCATTACATATATATTATATGGAATGCTGTGAATACAATTTAGAAACAGTGGTGTTATAGTACAACTTATTTTTCTATAACCTAGTATAGTAATAACTGTATGCAACTTATTGATAATAGCATTAGTAAATAAAGCATAAAAGCCCTGTAGCAGTTGTAGTATGTTGAATAGTTTGTACAATGTTATTAAACTTTGTATTTAGTTCACCTTAATAAACAATCAGTACTAAATTACAGTGAGCCTAGTTCACCTTAATAGATAGTCAGTACTAAATTACAGTGAGGCTAGTTCACCTTAATAGATAGTCAGTACTAAATTACAGTGAGGCTAGTTCACCCTAATAAACAGTCAGTACTAAATTACACTGAGGCTAGTTCACTTTAATAGATAGTCAGTACTAAATTACAGTGAGGCTAGTTCACTTTAATAGATAGTCAGTACTAAATTACAGTGAGGCTAGTTCACCCTAATAAACAGTTAGTACTAAAGTACAGTGAGGCTAGTTCACCCTAATAAACAGTTAGTACTAAAGTACAGTGAGGCTAGTTCACCCTAATAGACAGTTGGTACTAAAGTACAGTGAGGCTAGTTCACCCTAATAAGCAGTCGGTACTAAAGTACAGTGAGGCTAGTTCACCCTAATAAACAGTCAGTACTAAAGTACAGTGAGACTAGTTCACCCTAATAAACAGTTAGTACTAAATTACAGTTAGGCTATTTCACCTTAATAAACAGTCAGTACTAAATTACAGTGAGGCTAGATTGCCTTAATAAACAGTCAGTACTAAATTACAATGAGGCTAGTTTGCCTTAATATACAGTCAGTACTAAATTACAGTTAGGCTATTTCACCTTAATAAACAGTCAGTACTAAATTACACTGAGGCTATTTCACCTTAATAAACAGTCAGTACTAAATCACAGTGAGGCTAGTTTGCATTAATAAACAGTCAGTACTAAATCACAGTGAGCCTAGTTTGCATTAATAAACAGTCAGTACTAAATTACAGTGAGGATAGTTCACCTTAATAAACAATCAGTACTAAATCACAGTAAGGCTAGTTTGCCTTAATAAACAGTCAGTATTAAATTAAGCTGATGTTGTGCAACCTCTACATAGTTATGTTATATACTTTCACTGAAAGAAAACAAACTAGAAAATGTTTTAATATCTAAAACACATGTCATAGCTATTTGACATTTAAACATTTCAATATGTGCCTCGGGTTATCTAAAACGCGTGTCATAGCTATTTAACATTTAGACATTTCAATATCTGCATCGGATTATCTAAAACACGGGTCATAGCTATTCAACATTTAGACACTTTATATTGTTTACTTGAGATTATGGCCAAAAATATCAATAACATCGAGAGTACCCTTCCAATGAATATCAGTTCATTCTCATCATTATACATTTTTGTTTGACATTGGAGGGTAGCCAACTAATGAATCAGTGTATTTGTAAACTGCACATATAATATGGTCATTATTATTATTATTATTTGTAGTTGCTGTGTACTGAATCTTTTAATACAAATACACAAATTGGTTTAATCTTTCAGGTTTTGTTTAGATGAGTGTGATAGTTTTAATCAAGATTTGAAGCAGATTACACATGCTGTGTCAACATTACGGGTACACGGTCAGTCTAAAACTGGAGAGGAACAGGTAAGATTAGTGAAATTAGTTGTGGTATGTTACAATCTATTTATCATTGCTTCTGTTATTCAGAAAGTTTGTGGTTGTACGTTTTAACCGTACATTAATTTGAAAATATAATGTATACAAGATTTGTAAAATAATGTGGAAATATTGATTTAGGAAAAAAAACTGCTGCTGATGATGTAGACAGTAATGGCACTAATTCATTGAAATTTGCTTAAATTTTTAGTAGAAGAAACAGGGTATTAATGAGCTGCATTGATAACCTGTAGATCATCTCCTCATAATACAAAGGGTATAAGGCCTGTACAGGTTGGCCTTGTAGTAGAACTGTGGATTTTGGAATTGGAAGGCTGTGTTTGAATCCATGCTGTGGGTGCATTATAAGAGTGATAGTTAATCTCACAGTATAGATGGTAGGTTGTTGCCTTCTCTCTGCTTGTGGTTACTACTATTGTTGAAAATTAGGGATGACAGCAGATAACCTTTAATAGTAGCTCTGCCATAAATACAAAATATGAAGGACATGTATGCATTTTATGTAACATTCATCAATAAATCAGATAAAAACACATTATTGTCTTTTATGGTGAGAGTAGTGTTATTTATCTAATAAAAGAAAAGAAGCAGAGGAAGAATTGCTAGAGAAAATTTGAAAGTACTTAAGATATTGGAAAATTATGAACTGTCATCATTATCATAAGAGTAGTTTGACAACAACATCACCAATGTCCTAATTTATCATCATTATCAGAAGAGTAGTTTAACAACAACATCATTGATGTCCTAATTTATCATCATTATCAGAAGAGTAGTTTGACATTATCACTGATGTCCTAACTTATCATCATTATCAGAAGAGTAGTTTAACAGTGTCACTGATGTCCTAATTTGTCATCATTATTAGAAGAGTAGTTTGACAACAACATCACTGATGTCCTAATTTGTCATAATTATCAGAAGAGTAGTTTGACAACAACATCACTGATGTCCTAATTTGTCATAATTATCAGAAGAGTAGTTTGACGACATCACTGATGTCCTAACTTATCATCATTATCAGAAGAGTAGTTTGACAACATCACTGATGTCCTAACTTATCATCATTATCAGAAGAGTAGTTTAACAGCATCACTGATGTCCTAATTTGTCATCATTATTAGAAGAGTAGTTTGACAACAACATCACTGATGTCCTAATTTGTTATCATTATCAGAAGAATAGTTTAATAACATCATTGATGTCCTAATTTATTAATGAACAGTTTTATTTCGAGACAGTACCTCACCTTCTCACAGAGAACAGCTGTATATTTTGAACATCTACCTATGAGATTTGCATGCTACTAGCATGGAGCTAACTCCAACCTAAAATTCACGTGTTTAACATGAACTGTGCTGGTGCATGATGACATCATCATGCGACAATAGCCCTCCACCAACAGTGGGGCAACATGACCTCTATGCACAGTAACTGCCTCTAAACACTTTTATTTGATATAACTTTATTTTTTCCTTGGCACTCTCTAGAATGGACGTGTTTTAAACTTTTTAATCAAATACATGAGATTTATGGTAGATAATGAAAACTTCAATTTCATTTCAATTACACTGGTTTCTTTTATTTCTAAAGAAAGGCAAACTATTTGTTTTCTGCTTACCGATTATAACTTCTCAAGTGATTGTAATTTCAGCTTTGTCCCATGATAGTGACAGTATTCCTAACACAAGACCCTGGGGTTCATTGTGGTAGATGTAACAGCCATTGTAAATGCTTTGTGAGTTCTTTCATGCATACTGGGCCTCCTTTTCCCATCCATTAGGCTGACATTCCTTCTCCCCATTTTTAACGTAATCAGGATGATGGTGATTTGACCTGGTATTCCTTGTGTCAGGGTTTACTCTGGCATGCTTTATTTATGAAGGAATATCCTCACTTTTGTGTTCTTTACTTTCTCTTTCCCTTTGTCTTCTGATTCCTCCAATGCTTTCCTCCTCTAACTCTTCCGACACGGGGTCAGTCAATTTGACCAAGTCACATGACCTCCCTGTTTTTGTGGATTGTTGGTTTGGATTCACTCCATTTCTTCCATGATTGTTGCTTATTTCAAACATCAGAGGGTTACCCATTCCAGGACTCTGTTTCCACATGTTGGATCTGTTATTTTGCTTTTTCCTGTCAGATTTGTCTCCTGGCAAGTCATCTGCCTAGGACTATGAACTTGGTAGTGGATTGCCTCTTGTCCCAGTAGGGTCCTACCCATGGTGTTGTCTATTTACCCTCTGGTATTTTTTGGGTTTCTTCTCAGTTTGGCAAGCCTCTTATCACTTCCTTCACTACTCTCAACTCTGAATTTCCCCTCTTCTGGTCACCTGTTCCTCATCCTCCAGCCATATTGGCTGATGCTTTCAAACAGAACTGGTTTCCCCTTTTTCTTTATACTTTTCATCTGTTTCATCTACTGTCTTATATTCTTACTTTGATACTTGACATTCCTTATCTGATCCTGTTGGTGGCACCTTTTTGGCAGGCACAGCCTTGCTTTCCTCTGCTCCTTCATTTGGTATCTGATCCCCCTCTTCCTCTGCTCTATTCCTGCACTCTTGGACTCTCCAATTGTGTGTCCTTTTCTGTCCCCATTCCTGTGATCCTTCACCTCTATTTGTTTATCAGTTGCATCTGGTTTTTCAATATTGGTCCATCTGCCTTTCATTTCTCCTGCGTCATCCTACTTACCTTTTGGCCTTTTTTACATGGTTGTTTGATCTTGGATTGTTGTTTTTTCCACTCCTTCTGGTTTTTGGGCAGCTGTATTGCCTAAATTTTAGATATCCAGTTGCTGTCTGGTTTTCTTCTCCTGTCCTCTCCACTTTGAACTGATCTTCCTTCTTCATCATCTCCAGTGTACTCTCTTACGCCATGTAAAAGTTAGTTTTTATATGCAAAGAAGTTCATAAGAATGAATCATTTCAGATTTCATTTACAAAAAGTTTCCTAGGGAAGCCCTTCAGATACCCACTATTCTATTTCATAATCGGATTATGTGTTAATCTGGCCTGACAAAAATGTCTTGCAGAAACTGCCATTTGGGGTCCTGTCACCAACCCCCAAATGAAATGATGCCACTGGGGAAGAGTCTCTCTAACACATATCTTGTGTGTAACTCAGATTTGCATATAGCTTTGCCACTGTTCTATGTTGGGAGTTAAGCTTTTTTAACCTCCATATCTACACATTTGTAATTTGTGAATAGCAGTACATTTAATTCAAGGTTAATAACATTTGACTAACAGTATTTCTAACTTTGCAAATGTCTTAATGAGTAACATGAAAATAATGAGAACACCATCAATTACATTAATTTGATATTTATATAAAGAACAAAGTAATTGTGAAATTATGCTAGTTTCAGTTTGTTTACTATTTTAAACACCTGAACTACAATGGACACTTCTCATTTTGAAGTACATTTTGTCAGATGTATCTAGGATATTTTGTGTTCAGGCACTGGTGAAACCTTTTTAGTTAAAGGTGATGATCCCCCTTCTATATTTTTCTACAGCATTTTACATCAAAGTTTGACCCATAAAATTCTCCTTTCCTGAGAGATGTGGAATGCATATGCAGCTCTTTTTGCCACCTGAGTGAATGGCACAGGGATTGTCAAAGGAGTTCTTTGGCTGTAAAAACAAAATAAGATACAAGGGACATTAGCAGAGGGTTTTATGTAAATTAACATGTGGTTTATGATACACAGGATGTTAGGATGACTTTGGATTTTTCTAAGTTGTATAGTGTCATTAGTTTTGAGCACTATTTAGATATCCTTGTGATGATAGGTTGTTCGTAAAAACAGTTGTCTGATGTAATGTTAATTTGTTTTTCATGGTATTTTTTTAATGCAACAATAAACCCTAAGGAAAAACCATGCCAAGGTCGTATATTAATAATATCAGCATAATGTTCTGAAGTCAATTTATGTGAAAAGAAATGATGTTTTAGTCAGATGAAACTGTGAATAAGACTAGTATTAGTCAAAATACATTTGTGTAATTTTGCAAAAGATTGGAGGTCAGAAAGAGTTGGAATGATATCCTTTTCTGAGTTTTCTGCTTTATAATTATCTATAGAGGATGGTCTTGGGAGAAATTAAAGAGTAACTTACTGCTGTTTTTATTTTTATTTTGTAGAAAGCTAATTAAAGTAACAAATAGGGTAATGAGATTCTGAAAAACTGAATAATAGAATGAAGAAGACATTTTAGAATAATTTGTAAAATTCTTAAACATTCCTCTTGTGAACCAGAACCATGCTTTAACTGATTTTTCATATACTAATCATATTTTCTTTATTCCAGCAGTCTGCAAAAGGTTTCCATTTAACAAACAAAAAACATCCCAAGAAAGATGACTTTACCTCCAACTTTAGGTCTAAACTGGAAAGCTTCCTCTGCTCTGAAAAAAGTATGATATCATTTGTTTAAATTTAAAACTAAAGCTTGTTATGAATTTAAGAAAACTCTTACAAACTTGATACTTCAGTTATCTTTGATAATCAAACGTGGCCAGAAAATAACATTAAAAACATCTTAACTGTTTCCAGCAAATAACTTTGTCATCAGTATACGTTTCCTATCCTGTTGTCTTCATGCATTTCTAAGTTAACTTTTAGAAAGAAGGTATTGATTTATTTTATTGCTGCAGTTTCTACACAGTTTTTATTAGCAGCTGTTAGAATAATTTGTTTTAATCTTGTGCAATATACTTAAAAAGGCATTCAGTGATAATATCTTTTTCAAGATAGGAATGTTTGGCACTGATTAACTAGTGCATTAACATGAAAAACAAATAGTACCAAATTCAATGTTTGTACCTCAGTCCACTTTTGTCCTATATTTTTAATTTACTATTGGGAAGTAATTCTTAAATTTTTAGTTCACAGTTTTGATTTACTTAGGAGATAGTCTTATGTTATTTGATTTAAAATAAATTTTTGTGATTTAATAATCTGGTAGTTACAGTAGCTCAACTAACAAGTCATCTTTGAATTTATTACTTTTATTAATGATGTGATTTGGTTTTATGCATAAGCCTAAGTTATACCCTTTTAAAAAAATAATTTTCAGCCTTGCTTAATGATTTATATTCTTCACTTACGAGATGATTTGATATTTTTCAACTCATTTTTGTTCCTCATCATAACTAGAAACTGTACATTATGACATAAGAGGTTACCACAACTATTTGTATTTTTTCTGTTATTGATCTAAAATTGACATGTTGATATAAGTAACATTGTGTCTGTAATGATTATTTTGTAGTATTAATACTTATTTCATAAATTACAATTTGTTGATCACTGATTTTAAAACTTTGTTTTTCTGCAGATAAAATGAAAGATATAAACACGTCAGAATCTCTTTATAGCATTCTTCTGTCTTGTCTGGAAAATATGCCTAAAGGTATGTTTAAGATTGGGAATCAAGAAATATTCCTTATCATGTGAGTCAAAGGTTTCTCAGAATTTTCAATAGATTTGTTCTATCGTCTCTCTTAAATAATGCTACTGACCGTTGTCTTGGATAATGGTCTATACCATCATTAATTAGTAAAAAAATTTTTTATAACTAGACACCAGTTGCTAACTGGTTTTGATTTTATATTTCAGCTACTAATCTGCTACAGTTGTCAGAGAAAGACTATATGTATTTGTTGATAATGGTGGGGATTTAATCTTAGGTCTTCTATATGGAAAGTCTGGTGTGTTATTCACTTGACTGGGGTTTCTTCTATTAGAAAATTTTTAAATTTAATGTCCTAAAAATAGTCACTTTATGCTCCAAGATTTGGCTGAGATATTTTGACGACACATTTGTAATATTGCCACACACAACAGATAAGATTGAAGAATTCACAAACTACCTGAATGGACAACATCATGCAATTTAATTCACAGTAAACTAGGAAAAATAAAAAATTACATTCCTTGGTGTGACAATTACCAAGACACAAATCACATACCAAAAATTATAATGCCCCCACAGCTGAAAGGGAGAGCATGTTTGTGACATGTTATTCTTCTTAGCTTCTTCAGTACTACAAATTTTGTTCATTCTGGAAACTAGACAGTGATATGGTGCAGTGTGGGTGTTTTGCAAGGTATATACCTGTATCTGTGGGTTAACTGATCAACTATTACAGACAGATTGACATTACAGAGTCCTGTATACTTATTATGCTTCTAAATTGTAAATGTTGTTGGCACTTTTGTTTCTCTGAATTGAAATCCATATTTGTATGGGATGGTTTAAACGGTGTTTTAACTCCATATTGTTTCAGGTATTAATTGTGATTGTATTGTGTTGTAGGTTCTGCATGCTGTTCACAAATCCTTTGTATGTTTTCATAGAGACCTCCAACTTACAGGAGTTATGTCTGTACAACTGTAATTACCTTCCTGTTTATTGTCGGTATTTGTTTTGGTTTGTTTTTGAATTTTGCACAAAGTTACACAAGGTTTACTTGCACTAGCCATCCCTAACTTAACAGTGTAAGACTAGAGGGAAGGCAGCTAGTCATCACCACCCATTGCCAACTCTTGGGCTACTCTTATCAATGAATAGTAGGATTGACCATCACTAATAATTTTTAACCCTGTTTTTTGGCTGCTAACTTGTTGCTGTCTTTTGGGAAAGTCCTCAGAACTATTTCTGTGTTGGTAGTAATCGGGACTTGATCATAGGTCTTCTTATGGAAAGACAGATGTATTATCCACTCAAATGGGGGTTTCCCCCACTAGAACTTGAATCACTTAAGTATTTGAATGTTTTCAATATTTTGTTGACTTTCATGCTAAGATGAGTGAGTGTCTTATCAGTTAGGTAATTGTTGAGTGAGTGTCTTATCAGTTAGGTAATTGTTGAGTGAGTGTCTTATCAGTTAGGTAATTATAGAGTGAGTGTCTTATCAGTTAGATAAATGTAAAAGGCTGCTTTCAGCTTTCTTTTTCTCAATTGTGTATCTCGTTCATATCCTATTATTTTGTAATTACTTCAATTTATCCAATGGTCTTTTTGTCTGGCAAATTGATAATTAAACCTTGATGATTGTATAGGCTACTAATCATGATAATGAATGATATTTTCCACAACCTTACCATAAGTACTTATGCTGTATTGGATTTCCTGAATACTCAGAGCCACTTCTCTACTGTTTCATTCCAAAAAAATTAAATTAAAACTAGAATTTCTTTTTACTTTAACTCTCAGATTTTATAAAGTATAAATAGGTTATTTCAAATCGGGTTGTCTTACCTGTTAAATACTGAAAGACTTTCCTATTGAGCTTGTAGTCATGCTGTCAACAGAACACAAGTCTCAGAATTTCCAAATGTCTCTCATACATTGCAGACAATTTGTCACTTACCCATAATTCTACATGCTCATCTTTCACATAACTTATTGTTGGGAGATTGATCTTACCTTAGCTCTGCTTTTCTACCACCATGTACATTTTCATGTTGACTTTGCTACAATGAATTCTTTCACGTAACTTATAGTCGGGAGATCGATCATACCTTAGCTCTGCTTTTCTACCACCATGTAGATTTTCATGTTGACTTTGCTACAATGAATTCTTTCATGTCACTTATAGTCGGGAGATCGATCTTACCTTAGCTCTGCTTTTCTGCCACCATATAGGTTTTCATGTTGACTTTGCTACAATGAATTCTTTCACGTAACTTATAGTCGGGAGATCGATCTTACCTTAGCTCTGCTTTTCTATCACCATGTAGATTTTCATGTTGACTTTGCTACAATGAATTCTTTCACGTAACTTATAGTCGGGAGATCGATCTTACCTTAGCTCTGCTTTTCTGCCACCATATAGGTTTTCATGTTGACTTTGCTACAATGAATTCTTTCACGTAACTTATAGTTGGGAGATCGATCTTACCTTAGCTCTGCTTTCCTACCACCATGTAGGTTTTCATGTCGACTTTGCTACAAAGAATTTTAAATTCAACTTTAATTTTGATACAACTATTTCCACACTATTAGAAGTTCTATAACTTATTTGGAGTTGTTACTTGTGCAGTTTCCTGTAGTGTGTAGGGAGGACATTGTTAATCATACTTGTATCGTTCCTAGTGTGGTTCATGAACATGTAGATACTCAGTTTGTGTAACACACCATTTTCTGTTGTTTTTGAATGAGGTTGATCTTTTGCTCAGGCCTGTTGTTTTCTGAAACTGCTAACTCTAATCCCGATAACACTTTTGTTGGTTTCGTTTTTCTGTTTTAAATATTGCCACTGTTCCTTTAATGAGTTTGTGTCATGTGAGATGATTCAGAACTTGAATCTATTATTTTTTCTATGATTTCTTGATATTTGGCTTTTTGTGGATACTTCTTGAAACTAGGTCCTAATAAAGTTTTCAGATGCACATGAAGAGGGGATATAACCTCTGGATTGTGTTCACACATAATATGTTACTGGGTTGTTCCCACTTCCACTGCAGTAGCAGGACATATTAATCCTTATACATGTTTATACCACCACCTGTGTTTCATTGTTGGCTCCAAAGGCTCATCTCATCATTACCATTCACAAAACCAGCCTGAATTAAATGGCATCATGGGCAAAGATGTACCATGTTGAGAAGAACGTTTTATTTCTGAGTGTGTTTTAGGTCCAGTCTTTCTATAAGTTTGACACACTCCACTTGATCATCATTGATTTCAGTTCTTTAGAAAAATATTTTGGGTTCTGGGTTTTACCCAGACTCTGCTTGGCACCATCTCTGTTGGAGTTTAGATTCTAACTTCCTACTCATCAACATTTAGTTTTATAATATTCTGTACTTTTTCATTGGTTCCCACCTCTTTTCAACTCTAGGTACTTAGTATTTCAGAAGTAATACTACCTGATATTAATTTTACATTTGGATATAAGACAAGTATTTATCTCTGGAATACGTTTCCTTGTAATTCTTCACAACCTGGTTTTCATCACGACTGCAACTTTCAAACAAATTTAAATTATAGCAAGAAAACAGAGCTTATGCAAGGTTGTGCAACAAGTCACATAGAAAGTGGGAGGGTGGAGATTTATGGGTAAATGATGCATGCTGTGCAATGCCTAAAGAACATTTAGAAAGTTTTGAGTTACATTTGTTGACAGTATGAGTACAAACTTGACAAGGAAAGGCTTTCACTATTTTAGAGATAAAGACCTGTTTAAAATTGCATTGATAACTTTTCTTAAACTTCATACTCACCTTTTGAAGAACATTAATTAGGAATTTAGTTCATTTCTCTACACTTTAATTAACATAAAAATTATTAGTTTGATTAAGTTCTCACAATTTATCGGCAGAAAGACCCATTTTCGTGGTGTCATTGAATAAAACTCCTACACTGTTGTCCGACAGTTGAAAACCAAATCCATACTTATTGGAATAATCAATCCATTTTGTGATGAACAATGCACTATTTTCAGATAATAGAGGAAGGTTGGTCCCATTTTCTGTTAGTGAGAAATATGAACATTCTACTTATGTAAAACATTTCTTTGTATCAAGCTTTCCTTTATGGCCAAAAAAATCCACTATAAATGAAAAACTTATCTACATATTATATATCTTGCAAATCAAAAAAATGGCATGCCTAGCAAACATTTTATAAATAGGAAACTTAGAATACACTGCATTACACTGAACTAAATTAAATGAAATGAAAATTAATGTAACTCAAAAACTTGTCAAAACACTTGTGATAAACATTGGTGTGTTGGGTTACGGCTGTATGTAAGTTACGTGTTGGGTTACGGCTGTATGTAAGTTACGTGTTGGGTTACGGCTGTATGTAAGTTACGTGTTGGGTTACGGCTGTATGTAAGTTATGTGTTGGGTTACGGCTGTATGTAAGTTGCGTGTTGGGTTACGGCTGCATGTGTTGTGTTATGTGTAAGTTGTATGTGTTGTGTTATGTGTAAGTTGTATGTCTTGGGGTTACGGCTGTATGCAAGTTATGTGTATTGGGGTTACGGCTGTATGCAAGTTATGTGTATTGGGGTTACGGCTGTATGCAAGTTATGTGTATTGGGGTTACGGCTGTATGTAAGTTGTATGTGTTGGGGTTACGGCTGTATGTAAGTTGTATGTGTTGGGGTTACGGCTGTATGCAAGTTGTATGT